ACGTGGGCACTCATAGAGAGAAATACTTTAAACCCCCGGCCCTTCAAACCGTGCCGGAAAATGGCTATACCAAAAGAAGACCTAAACAGAAACCCTAACCCTTATTACTAACTCCATGTATCCCACAAAGAGGATTACGACAACTGATGAGCCCAGCCACAAAGCCTGGAGACATTTTTATAAACTCCAGTTACAATATTCTCATCAAGGTATAACCTTGGGTGTCAGCACGATAGGTAAAGGTCCTGAGCTTGGATCACGCCTTGCTAGCTACTAGGGTCTTGCACTCAGTCTGTAGGCTTGACTTAACCACGGTCACCAAACTCGCAACCGGGATACGCACCGGTTCCATTTCTACGGTCCCGGAGTAGAGGTATAATTCAACCGAGTATGAGCATATCTTTCCGGAAACCCTTCGCCGCTCTGTCTGCCTTGTAGTCTACCTCGGGCCCCTGCCAGAAAGAGGAACTAGTACACAGTTTCACGAGAAGAATCCTCTAATATCAAAAATGTTTGATTGACCTACATAGACCCATCTACATGTAGCTCGCTTTGAGTCGTTGGAGGTACGTAAGGTAAGCAGTAGCAATGTGTGGACTCTCCGTGATCCTAGGTAAGGGTTACATATGCTTTATGCTATTGCCATTTGTACAGGATACGTCGTGGTTGTTACCTCTAGCTTTATGCAGACCAGAGGCCCTAAAAACCAAATTAGATGGAATACCATTGCTCTTGACCTTATCACCAACCCGATCAGTCGTTCATCATTTGCCACTTACTTTAAGAAGTACCTTGGGCTAATAAATTTAACATTGAATTGAGCAATTATATATTTTTCCTTTATAGCAGTTCTACCTTGATATCTAACAAACCTCTTTGTCAATGCGGTGCGTAACGTGCCACAGGCGGTAAAGGGGAGCACTGGTTTTACAAAGGAAGTGTGACAAATCTAGATCCTTTGAGTATTACTTGGAGCGGAGAGGGGTTTACAGAGTGAGTGTTAGATGTATGAGATTGGATTGATGTACAAGGGGGTCTGTCCGGCCGGGTTTATCTCCATACACCCTGGGGTCTACCGAGATCGAATGAGGACTGGTGGGTAGCTGGGAGGAGTAGAAGCCGGAGGAAGAACGTGAGCTACATACACTCTCAGGCTAGACTTGCAACGAAGTGGGATAGTCGAAAGGAAATCCTCAGGCTCCAACGTTTTTACAGAGAAACCAGAGAACCCTGGAATAAACCAAACCGGATGCATAACAACCTAACAACAGCTTTATCTGCGCACACCCCATTAACTTATCCGTAAACTCCTACCAAGCACACACGACCAAGAAGCAGAAAAAAGCTATACAATTGTCGGAGAAACCCAGAAAAGTTTCCTTTTACATAAAAGCCCCAAAGAAAAACGGAACCCCCTTGGCTTTCCTTAGTTTGGTTTACAAGGCTACTACTAGCGCTTTCACGAGGCGAAAACTATATCGGTCGGCCCCGACGTATTTCCTACGCCTTGGACGGATATCTGCCTTGGACTCCTCCCCCAAAGCAAATTCCTTCGGTTACATGCTTCATCATATCTTCTTCTCTTATAAAGGTACAGGAGATACCAAGGGCTTGGGAGACCCCAACTTTCTGCAAGCCACAAACGAGTGATAGCGCATGATGGTCGGTAAACCTAGGCATAAGATGTCGGGGCGAACTGTTTCAGGTTGTATTTGGTGTTTGGCCTCTTGCTATTAACCGGTCGGTTAGAATTCTTCTTTGTTTAACTTACAATTGCGCCTTAGAGCCAAATACATGTGATATAGTACCGAGCATGATCTGTAGAGAAGGGAGCACTTTACTCAGCGTAGTAGTAAAGCTACAGACATTTACATGTACCTACCCTAACCCTAAAACATCGAACCGCTCTGTCGGGACGCCCCTAAGCCACCTCCCTAAGAAAAACACGGCTTACATCATACACAGATTGGAAAAGCGGAGAGACCTCCGCTCGATATCTCAAGCGTTGTCTTTCGCACGCAAAAAGGATAAATCACGAGAAACATGTAGAGTGGTAGAAGTAGGTACTTGCTTGCGATCTATATGTAGTTGGCGTCCATTAACCCATGCCATGGGATCTAATCTAGTTAATGAAGGATTGTTAGAAGATCCATGCCTTCGAAGTAACATGGTTGGCCATGGGCTAAGGTATAATCCAATCCTCTCCTTCCGCCATATTGCTCGCGTGCTATCGAGGAATAAATTAGAAGAGCCCTCTTTGGGAGAGTCTAAAGAGAATTGGACGATATATGAGGATGGTATATGAGGTTATGACAAAGCAAAGTTGGGCTTGTGTCGCATGGGTGTAAAGTAGGTAACATTTAGGTTACCCCTCTAATCATAAACCTCTCTGATCTTAGATGCCGTTTCACCTCTAACTTTATGTAGCCTATTTCGAGAGCTTTGGTTGACGTCCATCTATATTACAAGCATTGTTTATCGGGCGGGATCGTGCGTTCCGTTGCTCTCATACTACCTACATCATTCACATCGGCGACTCCAGCCAATGCAAGCTCACTCGATTACAGAATGTGCAGACGAGCTGCTTGATGTTATTCCAAGACATTTGGCTACCCCCACCCCTCCCCCTTACCCAGTGGACTGGGGTTGTCCCAACACCCGAGTGACATCTCATGATAAGCTAGCAGGGCGCCTTCTCGCTAAGGTGCGATAAATTTAGAAACCGCTTGTGTTACCTCACGCCACATTCACAAAACCCAAAATACATACATCCCATCAGAGAAGGGAAAGAAAAAAAAACGGTTTTTTATTATAAAACTCTGTGGCCCTTACATAGGTACTTGCTCTTATGACTTCAATGGATTTGCTCTCGAACCTCTGACCTTGCTATCTATCTGATGCAGCCACCATGATCCTGGGAGATCATGTAGCCAAACCAATGGTAGGTAAGAAAGACCTATAAGCTAACCACATCTTACTCGTTTGTTTTTGTTCAATTGATTGATTGATAACACCAGTGTCATGAATGCATGTATTTTTTGCAACTGACTTTCAGCTGTTCCAAGTACCTACATGTACACAAGAAGATCAGACAAAGACAAAGACCTTGCTAAGCTAGCTACAATGTCTAATTCAAGGGCCTCACCTTTGGCCTCTTCCCCCCTTTGTAAATTCGCCGACATCCCTCCGATAGGTATAGCGAATTTGGTATAGGAATAGGTCTCACCCCCGGAACAGTCGGCCGATGCCCGACTCCCGAACCAACCTCTTCGGCCCGCCTCCGGGGTTTGTTTGAGTTGATTAATCACGCAGCTCACGTGCATCCCTTCTCAACATAACAATAGACGCACCAAGGGTCATTGATTTGCGAACATGACAACATTAGCCGCGATTGGACCAACGCAAATTATTAATGCGATACCCTTTCTCTATTGACTCATTGAGAGAAAAGAATCCCTGCAACACTTTAAAAAAGCCTTTTTTTTTTCTTGTGGTTGCTATCCTTGGATCAGGGAAGTGGGGGCTGAAAGAAGGAAAAAAAGTTCGAACCGAGAGATGCAGAAGCGTTTATTTAGAACATGCCACCTGCGGGTGTGGGATCTTGTATGGGGGGGATCGGAATGGAATGTTCGCCCTCTGCGAACTTCATCAGGTTCGATGGGATTATGACGAATGGACCACATGGACGTCCGCCACGCCTAAAGGATAGGACGCCTTGCACTTGCGAATTGTCACAATGAGTGTAGGTACAAGGCTCTGGGATTAAGTGAGTGAACGGATCCTCACCAGTCAACACCCCATCTAGTTCACTCACTTAATGCCAGAGCCTTGTATGTATGCAGGTAACGGATCCTGAGGTGTCATATGGGGAGGAGGATCTAACAGCAGTTTCTATCATTAGAACAGCACGTAGAAATCCCCACAAAACAGTTGATTAACCCGCACCTCTTCCAATCAGGAATCACCGGCAAATTTTACCTACAATAGAGCAGATGGAATCTATATTTGTGAATCCCCCCCACCCCTCCCCCCTTAGAGATTGAGAGAGAGAAGAAAAAAAGAAGCATAGGTATTAGGTTTGATATTTCAAAAAAATTCCTGTGGAATTATCTTTTTTCTTTTCCTTTGCTAACCAAAGTATTCCAACCCGGACCAATGATGAGACGAAAAAGTTTTGAACCCCCATATGTATACAAAAAAAAAAAAAAAAAAAAAAAAAAAAAAAAAACATTGAACGCCACTTCCCAAAATATACATTAAGTAAAAGTGAAAAATAAAAAAATAAAAATAAAATTCATAAACTCCGTTATACCCCCAGGTAAACCGTCCAAACATAAGAAATCGATTAAGAAATAAAATAAAACCCCTAGGATATCTAACCATAGAAAATGCACAACTAATAAAAAGGGAAATATTAAAGAGTAGAGAGAATTGCAACAAAAGAGATAAACTCAGACAGTGAGGTGAGAATGAATGCTTTGGTTTCAAGGAGCGAGCATGAGTGAGGGGAAATATGTAGAATGCCGCTTTCAGGGCTAGAAAGTGAGTAAAGGACCTAGGGAGGAGTGACGAAAGGAAAGAGTGGTGATTTGACAAAATCGGGCTAAATTGTCGGCAACGCCGAAGATCTGAGGCGTGCACCCGCAAAAGTTGGTAATGATTCGACTATTCGACCACACAGGATCGTGCGGAGGAAAGCAAAACCAACGGGTATGCGCCAAGCGGCGGTACCTTAAGTGTGGAAGTGTGACACAGGTACTGATTGTCACACACAAAAAGGCGAAGATGTGTGCGGGGGGCTGTGTCATAAGAAAGAAAGTTGCGACTGTTTCCGCGGAGACCAATCCATCCGCTCAAGTAACCCTTCCATCGCCGTTTCTGTTGTACAGGCCTATCCGTGCCTCACCCTTCTCTTAAACCTTCGGAACCAATCAATGCCTTTAATTCCTTCCTATTTTTTTTCTTTTTCTTGATTTTCTTATGCAGCGACCATGTATGTTCTACATCGTCGCACAGTTCATGTGCATTGGTGAGTATTCGACTTTACGGCCATCTGCGGTGTACCAGGTCTCGAATGTGTACTCTTCTGGAGATTTTCGCGCGGAACTTCTTCTTCGGTAATGTGACTGGTGGGACGATGATGATGATGATGCTGTGGACCTTCCAGCAACCATGTTTGGTGATGGCCCGTAAAACGCCGATGCGGGGGGGTATCCTGAATACTTTTGGGCGGAGCCGCCATCATTAGCGGGGGGTAATGATGGCTGCTGTTGTTGGTATTGCTGCTGCTGCTGCTGATACCGATTGTAATTGTAGACCTGATATGAATCCTGACTCGGCGATAATGGCTGCAGATATGTACTTGTGTTTGCAGGAGATGAAACTTGCGGAGGAACATATCCATAACCATATGAAACCTCGTTTGAGGATGGCGAGTAATGACTATAAGGATCGTAGCTGAACTCTTGAGTGTTTGGTGAGGGTGATGATGGTTGAGTGTATGTGTAAGAAGTCTGCAGCTGCTCAATCTTGGGCGAGAAACCCCCGCTGCTACTAGGGTTGTTGCTGGAGTGCTTACTGGGGAGTTGCACCCTGGTGAGCATGCGCAAGAAGAGAGCGACGAGCGTTGAGATAGTGGAGAAGAGCAGTAGTCCATTGTGAGACGGCGAATTTCAGTAATTCTGGGATGTATGGGAGGCGTCAGATTGTTAAATAATTCAACAGAGACGTTGGTAGTTGGAGATGGTGGGTCTGTCTGGGGAACGTGCTAACGCGGCCCAGGAGGCTACCGGTGCCCTAATATATTCTTAACTGAACTTCTCGAAGGAGTCACAAAAGAGGGTGTATGTATGTATGTATGTATGGACAGGGCCTTGGCAAACGAGTGAGAGAGAGTGGTACATAAGGTACATGTAGGGTAGGCAGGTAATAGGTATGGATGAATTGAATGTGGGCAGCTGGTTCTGCACATAATTAATTTCTGGAAGTAACGTAGGATATTTACCAAATTGATTCGGACTTGGCCGTTTTCTGGGTTATTTTGGTTACTGGGACCTCGAGTCCTGTTTGAAATGTTCCCTATCCAGGTCCCCAGTTACTCGAACAAGGGAAAGAATTGGAGAGGGCAAAAGGGACGGGGACGGGTAGAGAGAATAGTGGAATAGTGCAGTGAACTGCGAACTGTGAGTTACTGTGAGTGAGTGAGAGCTAACTACTGTAAACTGAACTGCACGGGCCTATCTCTTACTTTACTTTTACCTATGTATCCTCTAATTACATAACTCACCCCCCTTCTTGCTTAAGCTGCCGGGCCCTAACCACTCTGGTCACCTTCCTCGGTCGACTCTAGCAGCTTTCTTGGCCGACCACCCCCCCCCCCCCAGGCTTAAGCTGACGTCGGACCCTTGACCGAAGAGTGCAAATGCAGATCATCAACTCTCTCTGGACTCTCTCTGGACCCTCTCTAAAGACAAACCATCACCCACCACTCACCACAGCCTTTCAAGGCATTTCCTCACATTTTTGATGATGGCTGTTTGCTAAGTGCCTTGCCTGTTGGGGCCATGGTTGGCGAAGCATGGGTTGATCCCCACATGGCAGTTGAGCTTAAATGACTTTATGTGACTTGATTTCCAGCATGGAAGTACTCCTCCACCATAACCACCAAACAAACCACCCCCCCTCCCCCCTTCCGAAGATTTGGTTTTGTGCTTCGCCTCAATTCCTGGTAGATATCACCCTCTGGGTCTGAGGGGGGGGGGGGGGGCTATCGTTATCGACTGGCTATATGAAACGCAACGTGTGTGCGTGTGTACCTACATGTACTTACGTCTCCATCCTCCAATGCGCCGTCGGCGGACGGCCTTCCGCCTTTTTAACGGTATTCTAGAATCAGAAATCTGGTCTTTATTGCTTGGGCGTATCATACTATCTTAAAGATGAGTGTCTTGACTACCCCCTAATTAATCCCACGATGACCAATAGAATCGATATCCAGACTAAGCGTATATTGTAGCAGGAGCTTCACGAAAGTAAGCAAACTCAGGCGTGTCATGTTCCTACCCCCTCTCCTAGTTCTTCCGCCCCCAAAGGATTTTGACGGCGGACATGGCCCTCCAAATCCTACGTTGTTGCCGTTGATTCATGGAGCTGAATTTCTTATTATGGGTAGGTTCCTCCGAGATTGCATGCCTGGGAACCACTCGCATCCCGCGAAAGGCCCTTTTTTGAGGAAAAGAAAAGAAGAATGGGAAAGAAATTCCCATCCACGAGTAGATTCGGGTGGTTCTTTAACTTCTCATGCTGGTTTCGTTGTTTCAAAGAAACTCTTGTGCCTGCGCCAGTAACCATGTATCGGATCGATTCCAGCTTGCGTTTCGGCGGCCGAACTCCGGTTATCGGGCGCGGGGTGCTCGGCCCCGGTGGGACGAAGATTAAACTCCGATTTTCAAGGGGACTAGCTAGGCAGAATTACTCATCAGCCTTCCTACGTACGCATCACTGCCTACTACTACCATGATATTAGTTGATAGAGCGTGGCTTTCATAATGGGACTTTGTTTGTGACTTGTTACAACTGCCACACACAAAGGGAACTTGCACGTCTGAGCCCACAACGCTGATCAAGCTAATGATTGGGTTGCGGCAACCTAATATGACTCTCCCCTCCATTGGCATTTGGAATTATGCCTTTGTTCTAGCTCTTAAGGTCCTCCTATTTAGGGGCACAACAGTGGTCCCCCTCTACAAAAATAGCCTTTTAAACTAGCTATCATCTCATAAAGCTGCATGCTAACAAACATATGATAGATGATAACAACGTCACTGGTTTCACTTCACAGTCCACAGTATTATAAATGGAAACTTTACGCCCTGCCTGCGATCGGCAATGGGCTTTGAGAGAGGGGAGTCAGTCGGCCACCCCGATGATCATCACTAAGTGCGACTATCTATATCAAAGATCGTGGCAGAACTTTATCCAAACGCGATCAGATTCACGGCCCTAAACTGTTTCAAGCACACCAGTGGTACAAGATAATGGTTCCTTCAGCCAACTCGGTGTTTAGTCTGACGTGTTTGGATACGTCGAGTGTGCTTGTGTACCCTACTGGTGTCACTCGACTTCTTCGAAGAACTTTCCATTCCCAGGTACAGGTACAGGAAAAAGGCTTCGCGGAAACTTTAAATATAGTATCTTCCTACCAGTGCCTGGTTGACAGGCTACCTGCCTATCTTTCTATTTGCTTGTATACCATACATACCCCCGCCACGGGAAAAAAAAAGATATAACATTCCGGTTGCTCATAGAATGAAACACCAGGCTGCATCCTAAGTGGGTTACCAGGGGCCGCCGACGCTAAAGCAAGGAAATTCTTCCCCCAGGTCACAATAGACGGGCTTGAAACTCGGTTGATTGGACCGAAATTCCAGGTCATTTCAACAACCTAGACGTGATTCCTTGCAGTTATTCAGCCCGCGGATCATGTGGTCATATGGAGATCGCCTTGCCTGCCTTACACATGTCAATAATATGCTGGTCGTTTTTGAATAACTCTAGAGAGTGCTTAGCATGTTTTATTGGAGAGGGTCACTTTACCGCCGATCTACATATGTAATCATCAATTATCACTCGAAACAAGGAAAGGCGGTTTTTCGTGCCTAATGAATGAAAATCAAGTTTGACCAGTGTCACGATAGGGTTTTAAGGTGGAGCAATTATTTTTAGGATTGTTAAGACGTGCAGAACGGGCTCAGCCTGGGGCCTGGGCCCATTATCGGAGCCTAGACATTTTGGTCACGTGAAGCTCTGGGATGCCTAAGACCGTTACTCAAGCAATCTTTCATATCATCGAAAACATTTTAGAAAGTTTCTAACCTATTAGCACCCCGATTAGGAATATCTAATACTAGTGGTGTCTAGAATCAAAGGTCTTGTGGTTAGCATTAACGTTAAAACGTTAATGTTAAAATTCAGTCGGAATCATTTAAGCCTTTCCCCTACCAATTAATCTGCCTAAAGCTAATCTCCCATACTCTCTTACTACATAGGTTTCTACTAGCGAGTTACACCTGCCAGCATTCAACTTAATTTCCCATCGATCGACCAGTCATTCCACTTCTAGAAAAACTTGTTGGGAGAGAAAGCCTATGGACAAACTGCTTAGCTGGAACACTTCTCGGTTGGGAGATCGAAATATCTTCCCATGAGCTACAAGGGGGTACAAGTCTCGCCAAAGAAAAGCTTCTTAGGCAAGTTTGAGTTCATTGCCAACGATTAACTTTCTCCAGGCAGGCTAGGTTCTTTTGACTGTATTTAGTGGCCTTTGCCTGTTACAACCGTTCTCTAAATATAGGGCCACGGTCGCTTAATATTCAGCTGAACTTGACTATGTTCCTAGGATCGAGAACTATGTTTCCTTTTTACAGATATCTGGATCCTATCAAGTTCACCAGGACCGCTAGCGAAAGGCGAGACCCAACCGGCACAAAACAGCCCAACATTCTGCAGCTGCACAGGCAAAAAAGGCGCAGATGATAAAGTACTGACGATGGTGTTAGCTAGGACAGTCATTTTCGATGTGGCATGGCTCTTCTACTCTAAAGATATATATCTACCAAGAGGCCAGTATGTCAGTTCTTTTGTTGAGTCCTTTCATTCGGAGAAGCTTAAGCCCATGCCCGGTTTTACGCCTTATTCCCGCTACGACCGGTTACGTTCGAATGACCAAAGACCTCCATGACCGGCACGAAAACCAGAATGGTCTTTTAAGTAGATCGAATAGACCCTGCAAGGACTGCTCCTTTGCTTCTGCCTAATCAGCGAAGGGGATCACTCATTACCTGGTTTTCTAATGCGTTGTCTAAGTCTACTTACTTATGTATCTACATCGTACCGCTGGACCAGTTATACTCGAGCTCAGGATGTCTATTTCCCAGTATCAGTGTCCATTATCGCAATCTTCACGCCACTTTTTTCATTACCGTTGATCGTGGACGGTCATTTTAAAGTTATTGCCATTTTTGGCTAAAGCATGGACAAGGGTTTGTAAACCGGAAATTTAATTTCCGATGGAAAACTTTAAAAACTTTATCCCAAGCACACCGGGCCCAAATCAGGCTATTTATAAAATAAATGTCATGATAGCATCTGCAAGGAGAAACTGGGGTTTAATGCATCAATAGGCCGAAAGAAAAAAACAATGATGGACCCAGACCTTTACTGGGACATAGACCATGAGTGGGGTTCGAGTTATCGGCTTTTTCAAGACCGGCGTAAATAAGAGGAGGACTTTTATCCCGGTATGAGTACGAGCCCATGAAAGGCCTTATATAGATCATCAACTCTCGCAACTGGCAATCCAAATCGAGGCAACGATATGAGATGTGTATATCCTCTTAACCTGGTTTATAGCGACACCGAGTGATCTCATATGGACCACAAACTCTGAGTCCTGTGCGTAGCGTACTGATCGATAAACTGAATGATTCGTGAATAAGAGGCAATATATGCCGAACCAAGATTTGAGTGGCTTAGGCGTAAAAAAAAAAAAAAAAAAAAACAGGAAAATACAGTGGTATGAAGAGCCGGATGAACACACTAGGGGACGTAGTGGAAGGTGCCGGACTAAACCTGTTTCGCGAAGAAAACATAATATTACATGTTTCCTTCTGCTTCCGTTTTTGTTGTTTTTTGGGCGATTCTATGACCGTGGCGAATATACATGTATCTCTTTTTCATGCTGTAGTTTTAGAAGGCTACACGCAGCTCTCAAGTATTGAGAACACAAATGCTGTTTTTGTCGGCTCCGGCGACGTCGACTTAACTCTCGATTCCACCTCTGGAACACAATTCAGTGCTATTTCTATCATAATCCCCCAACTCATCAGTCCCCCATCAACTCCTCGCCCCCATAGCTGTCAGGCTATATATCTCTTCCCCGAATGTAGCGTTTTCAAGAAGTTGAGAGCGTTCAGGGCGAGGCTATTCCTCCTCGTGTCGCTTTTCAGGACAGGTAAGAGAATTCGAGTGACCGGCGGTGTGCCAAGCAAGTACTGGCGGAGATCTTCGCCGGATGAGGCCACCTGCTCCTTGATATCAAAACCCAGATATTGGCCATTGATAGTGAAGTAAAACCTGCCGGTATGCATGATGTATGGTTGGAAATCGAGCCTCGGGATTGGAAGCCCAGCGGTATCCAACCCTTACTAGTAAATACATATTAACGGCACTTGGCATTTTTCGATCTGGGTTCGCGAGACGTCTCCCCAAACCCCAGCAATCGTCCTTCTGGTCCAGGAGCCACATGCTCATGGCTCGGCTCCGTGATGAGATGCCCATCTCAAGTCGGCTACAAAGACATGGATATTAGAGCAGCCAGGAGTTACAGCGAGACATTCAGCAAGAGAAGGTAGGCGCGCTTGAATATTGTTTTTTGATCAATTGGCTTCATCACTACCATGGGAGCACTAATTCAGATCATCCAGCTATAATCAGTTTAATTAATATAAGCGGCGTTCTGGGAAACCTGGCTTCCGAGATAATAGATGTCATTACCGGGGCCTGAACAACAAAGAGGAACTCAATAACTCCCGCAAGCTGGTAACTTGATTGAGGAGCCTTTGCGATCGACAACTCACTCCTGAAAACAAAAAAAGTATTGGCTGCTGGGTATGAGGCGCTGTGGTTGGGGGGTGGGGTTACGAACCAACAGACAAAGATTCCCCAGACCGCGTCGTCCATTTAATAAAAAGATCATCAATCACTCTTGGAAATTTTACATAGACGACTTCCCTAGCTACTCGGACACCACCCTCACTCGGACAGTCAATGATGATTGGTGGAGAGGTACAGAAGCCACTTGAAACGTTGATCTTCTCTTTTCTACGTTAACTGTCCGAGTGAGGGGGGTGTCCGGGTGGCCAGGGAAACCGTCTAAGATACCAATAACATGGCCTGGATCTAATACTAAAATCCGAAGATATCCGGGCTACGAATTGATCGTTCTCGTCGTCTTCGTCCCCAAGGCGATGATATCCCAACGAAATAAACCCTACCGAACCATTTTTTCGATCCTACCTAGGAACTACTGTAGTTAGATTGATTAACAAGCGATAAGGGTTTCATTTTAAAGACTACGACAGCTAGATCCCCCAGTGAGCTATGAATCATGAAATATCACTCGGATATTGCGCCGGACGAAAGCCATGAAAAACATATTCGATAGAACGGATTCAAGCGTTCTATTTATCTAGTCGAAAATCTATATATTTTCCTGGATAGTTGAATGATGAAACGAAGCGCGGTCCCCTGGTGTGCAAAGACCTGCGGGAAGTGGGAAATGTGGGAAGTGAAGTAGGATGTATCCCTCTCGATCCTCGCGCACAAAGTGCAAGTGCGCAGGATTAGTGCATTTTTTCATCATCCAGGTGCGAATTCTAAGGAAGTTAGGAAAGGGGGGAAACTTTCTAACTATAAAGGTACGATATGAAGCTGGGTCGGGTCGGTTGCGATCCATCGCACAGATTTGAAACTCTTTGGTGGGAAATTGTGGTTGTAACGCGTCGTAAGTTCAGCCCACATACGCATTCTGCGGCTTTGCTCATGCTCATCGATGCATCTCTAGATTGAATTGGCCCGCTTCTAGGGTTCTAGAATGTTCTTTAGTATATATAGCTACCAATGCATTGCCGTCCCACCTCCTAGGCACCAACGACATCTAATTCGATAAGGTATCGTGATGAGACTTGGCCGACCGACGCGAAGTACTTGAGACAAGTCGAAACTTTAATTCACTTCGCGCCAGACGTGCACTAGTGGGGGCGGGGCGGATACATTTGCTCTCCCATGGATCGAAACAAGAACTAGAAATCGAACTGGAGATAGAGGAGATATACCAGTACCCGAGTTTTCATATCCCCAAGGTACTGAAAATTATAATAATGTATGCCGCTGTTATCGTTGCTAATGACTCATGCCAAGCATTAATTGGAAAAATAGCAATTATTACTCCCAGTCCGTCACGCAACGCAGAACCCAGCCTTGTAGCCTTGTCGCCTTGTTCCGTCCGCCCTGCATAGAGTGAGTGACAAACATCTACCAACTTTTGCAATTTGAAACACGCATAACTCGACTCGAAAACATGCCGTTAACAAGATGAAGTACACAGCAGTTCTCCTAGCTGCGTTGCTAATAAGACAGCGCACATCTCTTCGCCTGACTCACCAATTTACATCGAGGAAGCCCAGGGCTGGTTTATGTCGACGTGTCGCGGGGCTGAGGGCATCTCTACCCCTGACTACATGTAATGTTTGCCCTTAGAAAGCCTCCCTCCCACCGTTCTATTTGCACAGCAAGGCTGGTATATATACGAGCGATTCATTATATACTAGGCCTCCCCATTCTGTATACTCTCACTTATTTATAACGCCGCGACCCCAGCGACGCCGACTGTGCCGCTTCGACTTCAACTATTACTTGTGCTGTTTTCTAACCACCCTGTTATCTTTCCCGGATGATAAGCTTATCGGATACTAAGGGTACTTACCCCTTCTAGAATCCTCCTCAACCAGAACTAGCTGGGCGCCCCTTGAGCCTCCATGTATCCATGAGACTCTGGACTCTGGACTCTGGAACATTTATCTCGCTTTTGGAATTGGCAATGAGGTGGGATTATCCTAAGTTTTGTTAGATTGTCCAAGATTAATTAAACAAAATATAGACATATATCTGTGACGAGAATTTCTGACACAGTGAAGCACGTGAGATACTCGGCTTGCTACGGCTCTGACGTCAGTGGTTCGCAATTTTGTTTCATCCAATCTTTGTTTGACGAGCGGTTAGGCGACCCCAACCATCATCCTCATCGCTTAAACTTGAGACGAAAGCTATCTGCCAAGGTCAGTCAACAGATTTTCTCCCTCGCTCAGTCGAATATCATAACTACAATAAAAAAAATTCCATCTTTAATCATTTCTAACATTCCACATAGATTAAAAAAAAAAAATAGCGACACCAAAGTCGAAGAAAATAATTGGCTCCTGCCTAGACCTTTCTTTGAAATTCCGCCGGTTTGATTTTCTGACAGAGAGAAAGTGTTGATACCGGCTTGCAGCTTCACCATTAGGTCAATCAATCAATCAATTATATATAGCTTCACCGCGTATCACTCGGGATATCGGTATATGTTGCGGCAACTCGGGTTAGGCCCAATGATAACACCAGTCTCTTGATAGGATAATATGCAATTAGATTTCTCATCGTTCCGCAAAACTCTCTACGGCCCTACAACAATTAACGTTTCAGTCCGACCGGCCAGGTCTATATAGGGTCTTCATCCGGGAGTGCTTAGTGACAACGACTCTCAAGATGGTCACCCAAACACTCGACTGGTCGTGTCAGAGCTTGGTACGGAAGCCTGCAGTTCTTCTTCCCGCAATGTCGGACACGCACATTTGCCCCGCGGCCCGGTACTTTTGTTGGGCTATATGATATACACGAGTCAGTATACTACTTGTCGCAGAGAGAAAGCTCGGGAGTATACGGGAGCTATTCTTTTTTTTATATCACTCAAGAGAAATATTTTTTTTTCTCCATGAGAGATCACTCGCCAATCGGTTTACATGTGCCTCTGACGTTGCTAATCAGCTCGTTAGATGAGACTGCGTTTTACAACGCCGCATGCATCTAGTTGGTATGTGTATACCATCCGAAAGGAAAGGAAAGAAAAGAAAAGAGAGAGAGAAAGGATTTGAACAGCAGACAGCACTTTTGCAAACCAGTATCAAGAACCATGCGTTCGCAAAATTTCGGAACAGTAACTGAGGGGAGAATCCGAGTCTGCCTCTCCCCCCTTTTTCTCTTTTTCTTTTTCTTCACTTCTTTGAGCTCCTATTATACACTGGAGCGAGAGTGAGAAAATATGAAACTAGCTGCCGTCTTATGCAATGAACACTTCATGGCCATGGACCTCGGGGCAAACCAACCTCGGGCATATACTACAGCTATTGCATGTTATATTACCACCATGCATAGTCGATTTCCAAAACAATCTCGGGGAAAACATAGTATGTCAGATGGTTTGTTACATACATACATACATACCTACATACATACATACATACATACATACATACAGGAGGAGCCCCACGTCCCTATGGCGAGTTGGTCACATATTTGACCTCACTTCAGCCAGTTGAGAACGGACCTGAGTGAAGGAGATGGATGCCTCTTTGAGGATCGGCATAATATCTCCCCTCACTCTCGAGATTCATACAGGATGTGAAACGCGCCGAAAAGTGCCATTTATCATTATCAGGTTTTACAAGAAAATTTCAATACACAAACACAAACACATAGGGCCAAGGAAAGAGGGAAAAAAAAGATCTCAGAGATTCCGAGATCCAAAACCTGCAGTCGGTGACCAGCCTTGGGGTCATTCGTCCCATCTTTTTTTTTCTTGCTCTACAATACGGGAACGATCTGACATCATTTTCATTAATCCAAAACCATGGCCTAGGGGACATCTCATGTTTTGAAAAGAATATCACAACTGATATCGAGTAACAGATGGAGAGATGCAACATATAAACAAACGATTTGAGATGACTTCTTTCGGCGACCGATGATCTGATCAGGAGATATCTTTGCCTTGTACAGACATACATACAGCGAACAGGAAGAGAAAAAAACAGGAATTAAATAAATTAAACCAAGAGATCGAATCAGGATGACCGGCAAATTTACGAACAAAGGAGGATCCAATCAAACATTATTCACTGACCTCGGGGAGGGCAGGAGAGACGAGAAAAATGTCAGAAGATACATGTAGTTTTGATGTGGGTGAAAAGTGATATGGGGGCCCCTCTAGTCGATGACAAAAGAGCTAACACCAGACAGTGTATGTCGAAATAGTAATACCTATCGGACCAAAACGAAATCACACCCCGTCACCCGACACCAGCTGCAGCTCCCAAAAAAGAACACAATATAGCGATCGACAAAAAGAAGAGCCCGCATGAGCGAGCCCGCCGATCGAACGAGATAGAAGGAAAAAATTAAATTGTATTGTCCGCCTACCTACCTACATCCACATACATGTCTTTGTTGATTTTGCTCATAGATCCTTACAAGGTAGATATGATACATGGAATAGTTTAGGTAGCTAGCTACCTAGTGCTCTGTACGACCTCGAGTATAGATAGAGAGAGTGTGTGTGTGCTTACAGTAGGTATCACCAACTGCATAGCCACCAATAGTTCTTTCAGCTCTGATAGTCCACGGCCTCCATCTCGCTACCGGGTGTGGCCTCGCCGTCTCTCCCCTGCCAAGGATAGCCCGAGCCATCAAGAGGTTTTTTGTTACTCACACTGGCAAACAGCCATTACACGACTAACGGAATCCATGGGCATCGGGGGAGAGACTTCTGCCTCTTGTATGCTGCGGGCTACTACTGCGACCACGGGTATGTAATGTATGCGATCAGAGTCATATCGTTATATATCGTATCGTGCAGGAGGAGGAGCAATCATGGGGTACGAAACGAGAAGAATCCACAGCCACATAACTACATACATACATGCACACAAGATGGATGTAGAGTGTGCATGATATTGGATATCTTGTTGACCAGTCTCCATTGTGGCACGACGCCTCGAGAATGAAACAAGTCAAAGTTGGGGGGGGGGGAGAGAGGGGGGGGGGGGGGGGGGGAAACGAATGAGAAGAGACAGATCGAGGGCACAATAAGCACCACTCAGTATACTGAGCACCCTGAGCACCCTGAGCACCAGCTTTGGTGACAGAAATCCCCGGGCGCGCCCTACGTACCTACACTGGGCGCGCAGCGGGTATTACACATAGCCACAGGTCCTAGAGGGAGTAAGTTACAGCACTGTATCACCCGCAGACCCTGCCAAGAAGCTTCCCCGCTAATCCCAAAGCTTAAAAGCACAAATGGCGAATGCAAATGCCTGTCAACTTGACGCCTCCCCGTCAAAGCCTCAACCCCAGCCAAACAATATGCCTCCAGGCAGGACCCTGACCCGGAGAAGACGAAGAAGGAAGAAGGAAATTAACCAGAAGAGAAGGAGAGCCTCAGCCGTTCTGTTCTGTTCTGTTCCAGACCGGGAAACCCCTCTTCGACGTCACACATACTTCGCTCCCCCCCAGCGGCGTTTGTCGTTACCAGGTGAGGGTAGTGAGCAGCAGCAGTGTTAGTCCTGAGACGGACTGCGCCCCGGACCCCGGTGCGCACGATAGACAGTTCGCCAAAACGACGTCAACCAAGGTCCATCCTCTAAAGAGTGAGGCTTTCAGATGAGACGGTTGCCGCTCTCGCTGGTCTGGCCATTCATTTGCTTCCGTTGCCTGAGGGCGCGCAATTCAACAAAGCAATCGATAATTAAATAAAAAAGATCAAATAAGGAGAAAAGAGTTGGTTTTGGCTGATAGCGCTGATACCCGACAGCGATGACGCCAGATCTTCCCTTCTTGGTATCTCGGAGACGATAGCTCGAGCGTCAAGACATAACATCGTCAACGGTGGCCTCTCTCTCCCCCAGGACCCTTCCCTACATGTACATAGGCACTCTATCCAGGCAGAAAATTTGGCTGAATGACCAAAAACGCGAGAAAAGAAATTTTGCAAAAGTACTGATCCGGGCTCTGATTGGCTGCCTTGGGCTCACCACCCACCCCACAGCACGTCACTACACCTCGCGCGTGAGCGTGAGGGTGTTGAGAACTTGAAAGAGAGAGGTTGCTGGTTGCTAGGTGGTTGTTGAGTGGGAAACAACGCGTTGCGCTGCGTTCCACCCTCCAGGACCCTCCAGGACCCTCTTCCAAACCCCCTCCCTGGTAAGCTGTAGTAGGTGCGCACCCGGGGATTTTCCTATTATTTATCAACCTTTCCATTCTCGCCAGCGTTGCAACCACCCTCCCCACCCCTCCCTTTCACCCAATCTTCTACCAGATTTGAGCCGCATTTCTCGGCGGGGCGCAGTGCAGCAACAACTCAATGACAGAACTGGAGAACCAGGAAAAAGACTTGATAAAGGGTCATCGTCAGCGAGCAATCGAGATGGAATTGGATTTCACATTTACAAAAAGGGGTACATATGCGAGGAACCAGGGAAAAACATAATCTCTTTTTTATTCTTTTTTATTTTTCTTTATTCTTGTGATCAAGCTAATTAATTAAACCCTCCCCATATTATCCTATCCATGTACCGAATACCTATGGGTCACTGACTTTGACTGGACTGACTGTATGTAACGCAAGTACCCAGTACCAGTACCAGTACCACAATCCAACCCTCCCCCCCCCCTCTCCCCCAAGTAGGTACTCAGCTACCTGCCTGCCTTACCACCCGGCTAGCTAGTTAGCTAGGGAGGGAACGGGAACCGTAAGGTACAATGATGAAAGACGACGATACGATACATCGCCAGCTAATGTTTTGCGTGTTGTAACAACCTGTTTTTCTGCTCCGTTGCTTTGCCCTCACTTCTCTCCGGATTGAGAAGTTCGAACTCCCGTCCTATTGGATCTCCACGGACAATACAGAATGGGTGCACCGCCCGTCCGCCCCGCGCCGCGCCGCCGCGAGCTGTCAGGCATGGCATGGCATGGCATGGCATAGCATGGCGTAAAGCAGGAACAGAGCAGAGCAGAGAAACATACATGCGCAGGCAGCAGCCAGCCAGCAGTGAGTGGCAAGAAACGGACGGAAATCGGAAACATTGTCGAGAACCGGAAAGAGTGGTGGAAATAAGGGGTGGGTGGGAAGGCGGAGGGCGGTGGTGTGCATATGTATGCAATCCAATCTGGGCAAGATAGAGGATTTTCTCACTAAGGTCTATCTCTTTTTTCAAATTTTTTTTTCATTATTATTCTTTTTATTATTATTCCTCGAGAAGGACGATGGCGGGAGGCAGACACCAAAAATCACAATCACCGGAAATTGACAACGCTCGCTGATTGATGGATGAAGAGATGGAAGCACAGAAAGATATCACGATGGAAAATGATGGAAGATATTTTTTTTTCTTTTTTGCAAAAGAGTGTTTTTATTCGTTTAAACCAGTGACCAAAACAAAAGAAAGAAGTCTTGCTGACTGATAACCAAACAATTAAAAATAAAAAAAAGAGAACTCGATAGAGTGAATACCCTCAAGGCACCAAAAAAGAAAAAAGAAAAAAATAAGCAAGTAAGCAAATCAAACAAGTCCCAAAAATCGTCTTCCGTATTCAGCCCCTAACCCTCCGCCTTTGCCATTAAAGCAAAACAAGTCTCTAATCAAGAACTATCCTTTAATCCTCCCGCCAAGCAACTACCAGATAAAACTCTCTCTTCCCTGCATTCTCGAATCACGTTCATCGGCATTTACGCACGGACGCTGCTCTCTACTGGAAGGGTGTTGGCGGTTTGTTATTAAGGTGGGAAGGAGGAAGTCCCGTTCGAGGCCAAAAAAACCCGCAAACAAATGCATTGCAAAACCGTAAACGATATGGCCAGTGAAGCCCTCTCAGATTAGTGAGGAAGGCAGCATGGCTCTATCTCCTCCATAGCGGAGGAGTATGGGGGTGTGGTGTAGTGGGGAGAAGAGGCAGGATGGTCATCGTCAGGTGGTAGTGAAACCCCCCGACAGCTCATGGTTCCCGCCATGGTGGTTTTTTTTCGAAGAAGTAGTAGTGACTTCTTCTTCCATCCCTCACTCTTCGTATTGGTGGTGGTAGTACTTTCGAGCACAACAGTAATCGAAGCCTGAAAGGCTTCCCTTTTTTTCTCTTCCGTCAGGGACCCCGAGGCGTTCCATCTAGAAGTATCTAGTCTGGACCTGGGGGTTGAAGGCGACGCTCCTCCCGCTGCTCCTTGGGCTGGAGCTCAACTGCTGCTCAGCACCCTCAACCCCCCTTGGGCTGGAGCTCAACTGCTGCTCAGCACCCTCAACCCTCCTTGGGGAAGGCGACCTCCTTGAGGAAGTAACGGGAGTAGCCTCAACCAAGCTAAAAGACGAAGTCCTCCTGGGGTCCATGCTGGCCCTTCGCCCGCTTCCGCTCCTGTGAGAGACATCACGCGCGTATGCCGAGCCCCTGTTGACTGGTGCAGGTGAAGTGGGAATAGCAGCTGGAATGTACTGGACCCTCTCTCTGGTCCTCAACGCGTCGTAGACATTGACGTCGACATAGTTAGACGGGGCTCCCTGCAATTTGTGGGTGATTGCGCGGATGAGGCCGTCCACTGACTCCCAGCCCTCGGGGAAAGACACCTCGATGACACCGCCGGAAGTGGAGCGCGCCTTGTCGTAGAGGTTGACGGCAATCTCAGTAGCAAGCTGGTGGCCGACATCGCAGAGCTGGCGGCTGGGTGACTTGTGGACGGCGTATGGGTCGATGCAAGCGGAGCAGGCACGGGCGTGGACGTTGAATGAGCGAAGGGAAGTTGAGAGACGTCTGGAGAGTGCGTCAGTGGGAGCGGCGGGGGTGGTGGCCTGGTGGACCATAGCGCGGGAACCTGGCATGCGCATCTTGAAGATTGGTTAAAAGGTAAAGGTTTGTTTGTTGTTGATGTTGGGGAAAAGGGTTGTTTGGAAAGTGAAGTTGAAAGTGTTGAAACAGAGACAGGAAGTGTGGGAACTAGTTGTGTATTTAACTAGAAGCTATGAGTAGTAGTAGTAGCAGTAGTAGTAAGGATGCTGTTCAGGCTCGATGTTTGGTTTACTTGGCTTTGTTGATAATGATGATGGATACTGAAAAAAAAAGGATGGGTCTGTGGGGGATGTGAGAGGTTTATATCAATCTGTCTTTCAGAACTCTCAGAGTGCTACCAAGCACCCTAGAGGAAAGGCCTGCGGGTGTGTGGTAGCCACATATGAGTGGACTGCGATGCAAGTAGAAGACCTGGCAAGGATTGAGCAGGTGGTCGCATCCTGGGCCAACTAGCAGAGGGCGTGTGCTACCTACAACAACAAAAGCAGCTTGATCAGTATGACTGACTAGAACAGCAGCATTACTCACTCACTGACCTAGGTCCCCTTCGTGAGACCCATTTTTTTTTTTTTTTTCTTTTTAGAAAAGCAGCGGCATATTGACCTACCTACACCCTCCCCCCCCCAGCAGATCACCACCCATGGCCATCACACCCCAAAAAGAAAAATGAGGAATAAAATAAAAATAAATAAAAAATAAAAATAAAAAAAGAATTAATCCCCTTTCCCACCAAAACTATCATCACACACCATAACCCTCAAACACCCAGAGTAGCAAGCGCCTCCCTTTATCGCTGCGGCACCTTCACCCAAAAAGAGAGCCATCTGCCATACCCCCCCCCCCCCCCAATAGCACGCGCAGCTGCTCCTTGCGAACACCACAAGGCCTATTTTGCAAACTCCCACACCGTATGTGTGTGGTGGTGGTGAGTTGCCTTGCTTGCTTGATCGCATAGAGCGAGTCAAGTGAGTGATTGCCATCTACGTTCAATTGATCAAGCCACGATAGATACAGTACAGTACCGTATGTATGTGTGTCACCTACACCACAACCACAATATACAGTCCCCGAATAACCTGCGCCTCCCCATGATAGGTTGGGATGGACAGGCATTCCCCAAGAGGAATGGCCTAACGGCGTGCTTTCCCTGGGTACAGTTGGAGTTGAGTCGTTCAAAGGGTGCACTCGTACCGGAGGCCACCGAGAGTACTCCTCTCACTCACTCGTACCCTACTGTTTTCACAACTCACTCATACTCTACTCCCATCCTGGTACGTCTTTACCTACATACTTCATACATACATTTGACTGAACTGCTGCTGCCATGCTGCTTCTGCTTCTGCTCAGTTAACGAAGCAAGCAGCAGCAGCAGCAGCAGCAGCACCACCAGCAGTAGCAGCAGGTTAAGGTAGAGTACCTCAAGTAGTCGTAATCAATACGCCCTCTCATCTATTTTCCTTTTTCCCCTTCCACCCGCCCCCAAAATATCAAGGGAAAAAAAACCCCGGAATTCAAAATATATCCCAAATGGCATCCAGGGAAGGGGAAAAAAGGAACACACATTCCTCCGGATGCCCATGCCCCATCCCGAACGAACGTAATGTTCAAATCCTTCATTTTATCCTACCCAGACATACTGTCACCGTACCGTAGAATAGACCCATTCCAAACACAACTGGCAGCAGATGGGCTGGCCATGGCTTGTCCGTCGGTTCGGTCGGTCAGTCAGTTTCCCTTTTTCCCACCGCCCTTCTGGGTCGGATCTGCTGTAAAACAAAAAACAAAAAAACCACATTTTCGAAGATGTGTGCCAATGATTTGTTTCCGGGTTTTTCTTTTCTCATCTGGTTTATCCACACCCTTGGGATTGATTCGTTTTGTGAGGCATGTACCTGTGTGGCTTGGAGAAAGGACAACGACAGGAAATTAAATCGCGATACATGTATCGTTTTATCTATCCGCGCGGAAAGGTTTTTGTTTTTGGATCGTTACCGGAAATACTCGCTACATGGTTATGGGGAGATGGAGGTAGATGGCGGCTGGCGTTTTTTTTTTTCGAGGGGAAAAGGAATTGTTCTGGAAACATTCGAGTTTCCGTTGAAGCAACAGGACCATGGTTGCTCTCCCACCCGCCATCTAATAATAAACCAAACTAGACGAATGACAGCGGGGCATTCATCTCTCTCCACAAAATCTCCGCCAGCAACCATCATCCCCATGGGCATGAGCTGTAGTAAGATAGAGCTGGGAAGATAGGCGCTTTCTGGCCTGTAAACGGACGTGGTAGAAACCCGGGAACATGTTCGCTCATTCAACCTCACTCACTCACACACTTACACATTCACACATTCACTCACCTCACCTCATGTATGCTGGCTGCTGTACCTCGAGGCTAACTCACTATGAATCCCAGAGTAAACCACCACCACCACCACCACCATCAGCACCACCCAGTATCCACCTAACCCTCTCTATCGCCGCCCAACACCTCAGCAGTAACAGCAGAAGCAGGAAGTTCTTAATATGGAACCACCACTTGCCTCGAGAACGGCTAGACTCGCCTCACAGTCTCACTCGCTCGCTCGCTAGAGCAGAGCAGTAAAGTTACAGCACCGAGTTATCCGTCGAGACGACTCGTCTTGGAAGCGTGCAGTAAGCGGCGGGAGCAGGATTAGGAAAGGGAAGCCTCGGTTGGTTTGCCAGCCCCAGTCAGCCAGCCAAGACCAGCTTAGTTGGCTTTCGCGAAAGGGAAAGGGCGAGGAGGGAAAAAGGAAAGAAGGGAAAGCGCGGCCAGGACAGAACAGACAGACAGACAGCAGGTCGGAATTACCCTCCTGCTCCTGCTTGCTGCTTGCTTGCTGCTTGCTGCCATGCTGCCATGCTGCGTACCTTCGATCTCCTCCTAGTCTCCTACCTCCCCCCCCAGTACCTACTACCCCCCTTCTTTCCCCTAGCCCTCCCCCGCATATGTATCGATAACATTGGCCTTATTATTATTATTTAATTCTGCTATTATTTTTTATTCTATTTCAGAGCTTCGAATGCCGTATGTAGAGACGTAACCCGCGGCCGGTATCCTACCTTCCTTCTTCTTTCCCTTATGCCAGCTGGGCGCGTTCGGAATATGTGATATATCAAAAATATTATTCCCGCGATACAATACCGACCGAGGTCGACGACCCCTTCCCCTTCCCGGGCTTGAGTACATACTCACATACGTCCACTGTATCAGAAAGTAAGAAAGTAAGGCCTGTGTACCCACGAACACGACCACAAGAGAATCTCAGAGAGAACGAGCGAGATATTTCCCTCGTCTCTCTTGATCTGTAGCACACACACACACACGCATACATACACACACTCACAGCACACAGCTCACACGAGATGGAATCAATGGCCGTCTGTGGATCCATCTACACAACCTACATACCACACGTACGCTCATCATCAACCTGTAACGTATGTAGCTGTGCCTAGAACTTCTTTTTTTATGCCATTGCAAACCCACATTTCCCATTGCTCTCTCTCTTCTTCCCCCGCCGCCTATTGGAAATACACCTTTTCCCTCTTTTTTTTGCTTTTTTGCTTACACACATGAGTCTTCTACCCCGGGAACCTGCCTGCCTGATGATCCGACCTCTCTCGCCCTCCCCGCCGCCGAAGGGAAACTTCTTGCGGCGATTACCCCAGTTGGGAGGAGGCATAGTATGTCGTGCAGGGACCATTGTCTGCTCTACATACACCTCTTTCCTTAGAGTATCCCATATGTACAGACAGCGCAAGACCAGAACCAGATCAGAGAGAGAAAGATCTAGAGAGAGAGAAAAAAAAAATTGGTTCATTTGGTATATTTCTTTTTTATTTTACTTATTTACATACTACTACGCTGTGGAGGACAGACAGACAGACAGACTAAGATCTATGCTGCTGAGTGCTGCTGTTTGCTCCCGAACCAGTAAGTTATTTCCCATCGGGACGCATGCTACGCTTTGGGATGGATGGGGAGGGAAAATGTGTGAGGTTAGAGCTGGAGGGAAAGGGAAAGCAAAAATGCCATCCTCACATACACACATACATGTATTCCCGCCGCCCACACACCACCCACAAAACCCACAATCCACTTCCCACCCTCCCCCCTTCCCCATCCCGCATCCGCTATGCATGCAGATAGATGGTGGATGCGCAAGGCCAAACCACTACAACCACCGCACAATTCAACAACCCTAACCAACGTAAACCCCCTACCCTACGATGGAAGTAGGGTAGCGCAAAAGCAAGCAAAGGAGATCCTCCTGTCTGTCTGGTCTGTCTGGTCTGTCGATGGGAAATCAAAGGGCAATGCCATCCCGTCAATCACTCCCCGACCCCTTCTCCGTTCGCGCGCTTCCCTCTCCCCCGTCCGTAATACAACTGTAACCGAATTCTTGAAGGGAAATAGAGTCGCATAAAAAAAAAATAGCGATTTCACATCTGGCTGCTAGTTAGCCCTGCTGGCTGCTCGGACCCCAGGATGATCCTTTCCTACTCTAGCCTATCGGGCTACATAGTTTTGTAGAATAGTAGGTAGCAGGTAGGTAGGAGAGCTGTAGGTAGTAGGTACTAGGGATCGATATCCGGATTCAAACCTCTTCTTTTCTTCTTTTCCTTCCCCGTACGTACGTCTTTCCTTTCCTTGAATCCCGATTCCCCTACCCTATGCCTATGTACTCCTATCATGATGATTCTCTCCTTGTCGAGTCGTCGTCGTTCCGCTGTGGTCTGGTCTGGTTGTGTAATGGAATGGGCTAGGCCACATCCGCTCATCCATACACAGAGTAGAACAGACAGAATGAGTAGAACCACCACCACCGCCGCCAGCCAGCACCATGTACCACCGGCCGGCCACCGTTGAGATCCCACCAAGAGAGGGCGAACCAGCCCCGGGCTGCCCAGCAGCCAGGAGTTCGAGTCGTTAAGCGTTACAGAATATGTACTCTCCGCCATCCCATGAATTGGCAATAGCTGACTAGCAAAAAACCCTACATGATACCTACTCACCTGCCCTACTGCCTACATAGATTACCTAAAGACCCTGGGGGCGGCGGCGTCCCCCTCTCCCCTCTCACCTGTTCACGATTCATGCCCTCTTTTTTTGATTTTTTTCTCTTCTTCTTTGGCTGTGGCCATAGCTTTGCCATGCTCCCGTCGTGGGTTCTTAATTGCTCCACGTATGGTACGTGCAACGAACTATAAAAAAAAATAAGAAAAAAAAAGGCTAAAGAGCCGGGTTGCTTTTAATTTTCCCCAGACTTTTCGGAAGGTCTTTGAGTGCATACTCTGCATTGATTGGGGGCATACATGTATGTACATAGATCAGGGCAGGCAGGTGGTAGGGGGGGGGTATTTGCAATGTGGCTAATGTTAGAGTTGAGTCTCGTAGCAAAAAGTCAAGCTCAACCGTCCCGCGTGCATCCACCCGCCGTGTGAAGTGGCTAGAGAGCTCGACCCTCACACCCTCACAGTGCGCGCCGCCCTCTCTGAGATTCTCCACATACTGAAATAATACGCTACCCTTATGTACTCTACATACCACACCACCCACCATAACCTAACCCCAACCTCTTCTTTGCTCGCTCGTGGCGAGTTGCATGCGGAGTGTGGACCACTTGTACAAAATGCTCATGTACCCTCAACCCTCCTGTTCCCTTTTTTTTTTTTTTTAACTCGTTAGAGGAAGCTCTAACCCGTTTTTTTTTTTTTTTTCCTTCCTTCCCTTCCCATGCTACCTTCCTTCCTGTCGAGTCGACAGCGGATCATCCACGAGGCTTGCAGTGGAGCGTAACCCTTTTGCCTGCTTTCTTGGTACTTGTGGTACATACGATGTTGAAGACTTATGTACTTCCCCAACCACCGTGTATGAGAAAGAGAGAGAGAGGGTAATACACTGAGAGCTAGAGAGCTAGAGTAACCAGGTTAGAAGGGGTGGCTTTAGCTCAGTAGGGTACCCTCCTGAAGATCTCTCTTGCCTTGATGCTTGTAGCAGTGGCGGCGGATTTATGTGTATGACCTTCTTTTTTTTTTTTTCAATACCCGCCATAGGAGCAGTATCTGGAGCTAGCTAGCTAAGTAGAGTACTAGTAACTCTAGATCAGAGAGAAAGCTAGGTCAAGCGTTTTGGATCCTCTTCGTCCGATCACCAGCTAGCTAGCTTGACCACCATGAATGATATGATCATGAATTCCTCGGAGCGACATTAATTGCGTGACCAGTATCTACAGTACCTACACTATGTACTCTTCTACTTGTAGAGTACTCGCCAGCTAGCTAGCCCACATCCGCTGTGACCGGCCGGCGGCGGCGGTGATCTGATCTTCGTGTGTTTTATAATAATAGCTGCAACGACAATCATTTCCCCTCCACAACCTACCACCCTTCCCTTCTCTCCACACTTGGGGGCCAGATCTCTGGCAGGTGTGGAAAGGGGTGGCAGGGGCAGGGGTGGGTCAAAAAGGAAAGAAGAGACGCTCGCTCGCTCACACCATAACAGCGTGTGTAGATACGCCAGCAAAGACATCTTGACAGGGCACATCATGATGGCTAGCCAGTTGCCTCGCAATCGAGGGTGCGCAGGTAGGGTAGGTAGGTAGGTAGGGTAAAAGGGAAATCCTGCTGACAAACCCTCGGATTCGAAGGGAAGGGGAGCAGATCTAATACCGGAGGAGGAAAGATAGAAGCGTGTACCTACATGAAGAAGTATCATGTAGTCAAGCTGTCAAGCCTGGGTGCTGCCCAGAGTAGGTACGACCGGCGGCGAAACCCACCTTGGTACCTACGTTACCTGCCCTATCTATCTACATACCTACTCTATCACTGAATGAATTCGACGGCGCTATGCGTCCTGTTCTAACAACAGTAATAATAGTAGTGAATCGAAGCTTAAGGGGAGGGGTGGCACTCTAATAGATACTCATTGTAGGCATAGAGTAGTTACTAGGCACTCTATTTTCACATGAGTGAGCCAGCCAGACGTCCACTTTCGAATCGTGCTGCTCCTGCTCTATCTCTGCTTCTCTCTCTCTCTCCTACTTCTCTGTCTATTACCCTGACCCTGCTGGCGGCGGCGACCTTTCAAGTTGCCCAGCCCCAGCCATGGCCAGCCATGGCCCCAGTACGAGCATAGGCGGGTATATGTAGAGTCAGTTATTAATGTAGTCCGTAAGCCTAGGCTAGGGAATAGGATCGTAACAACAATTTTCCGGGCACTTCCATAAACTTTCCCCAAAGCGGATTACTGTATGTAGTAGATATGTAGTGAATATAATACTTCCTTCTAGATATTCCAAACAGCACCGGGGAGGCGTTCCCATATGAAACTCTCAAACACACACACACATCGACACCCCCCCGCCCCCCTGGTCCTTCCCATCCCATGTGTGGATGCTTGTTCCGAAGATCGATAGTAAACACATCTGATTTCCAGCGCTCCCCTTGCCTGGGTCTTGAAGGGCTAAGATGTCGGCCCTGCCCTGTCGCTGTCCACGTTCCTAGCTGTTGTGTGTGGCCGGTGGGGTTCTGCTTTGCTATGCCTTATCTTTTTTTTTATCCGCACCCACCCATGGCCACCCCTCTCTCTCTCTCTCTCCTCCGCTCCGGATGGACATACATAAGAATGGGGAACATGTCGGAAAAACAGACAGACACCCAACTTTTTTTTCTCTCGATCATTTACATGTGAGCGATGAGCAACCGATTCTTGGTCGCGTTTGACATTTCAAGATCGCGCGCCCACCCTTTGTCTGCACTCTATCTGCTACAGCAGATACAGAGGAGGTTCCGGGGAGCCACGGGCGGTGGTAGTGTTAGGACAGCTCACGGTCTTCTGAAAGGGCCGATAGATAAGGGCCGAGACACACGCAGCACAGCAGCGCCAGTTGCAACCACGGTGTCCTATGTAGATACCCAGCTGAACAGCCCTAGCCCTGGGATGGGGGAGATAGAGAGAGCCAGAGAGTCAGAGAGTCAGTCGGAAGGGCGAAGAGGAGATGAGGATCAGGATCGGGAGGATTACAATTTCACATGAAGGGACAATTTGAAAAGGCTTGGGTGGATGATCTGGTCTCTAATTTTCTCCCTTTTTTTTTTTTTTCCTTTTTATTTTATTTTACTCTCTCTCTTTGACTTTTTCGATTCCCGTATCTCTGTGTCACGGAGGATAGCAAGAACGACGGTTTCAAAGTGAGGGTTTTTTCTCTCTCTCTATCCGTCTTCCTGGGCCTCTCATGTCTCTTTCTTTCGTCTCTCCCTAGATCTCTTCTCTTTCTCGTTGTTCCCATGGGCTGGCTAGGCTGCTGACTGGATTGAAACTAGGGCGTGCCAGTCGATTGTGGCTTGATGATCATGGTTCTGGAAACGCAATTGTTGGCCAGATACCACCACAGATAGGCTGCGCAATCAGGATACGCAACTGGCGTGATTGGAACGAGGGAGAGGAAGAAGAAAGAAAAAAAAGAAAGAAAAAAAAAAACAGATACGCGTCTCTGCTTGGACGGAACGAACGAACGTATCTAGGAGATGGAACGGAACAAGCAAGGAAATGCGAAATGCGATGCAAACAAAGTTTATCTCACGTCCGCCACGGGTGCTGCTGCTGGATGCACTGCAGTGAACGCCATCGATGCCGATGGATGTGATGTGTATCAGGGGTTCGTTTGTGGTGGGGGTATCCGATATATTCGACATAACGCCTACATACACCTGTCACCCGGTAAGTTGTGGCATACGCAATTTTTTGTTTGTGCTTTGAGAAACGGAAATCACGATGGGGCCGCGGCGACGGTCTCTCATTACAAATTGGACAGGGCATGGCAGGCAGGCAAGCAAGCAGCAGGCAGGCAAGCGGGCAGGTCATGTAGGGCAGATCGCCATGACGAACTGTTGCTGCTCTACGTGCTCTACTGCAGCTGCAAAAGAAAGGGCTGAAAAATGTCATGTATCGTGACCTCTTGACAGCATGAGTAGCATGAGGTACGTAGTAATAGTCTCCATTGTAAGAACTATCGTCGTGTCTAGTGAGTCTAGTGAGGAATTCCAAAGCCACCTACGTAGTACTCGCCGACCAGCCAACAACAACAACTCATAATTATTATCCCCTCGGATCCACTAATATTAGCCCCCTCCATCTAGAGTAGCTCCGACCTCTAGCAAAGTAGGATCTACTACATAGTAGAGTTACTCTACCTTAGCTCCCCAAGCAAAAAGAGTCGCTACCGGGAAACAAACGGTGCAGTGTAAGGCTCTATTTCCCAAAACGACCGTAGATCAACCCGTTACGGTCTCAGAAGCAGCCGCCAGGACAGCTCTGACTGGCAGCCTTACGAGAGAGCTGCTTTGTTTCTTCTGGACTGGCTGGACTAGCTGGCTGGAAGTCTGGCTAGCTGGCATGGACATCACCTCGGATCCTCTGTATCGCCTTTTTCTTCCTTTAACGTTCATGGTTATGCACCCCGCATATTATTGAGCCTCACTTTCCTTCACTTTCCTTCACTGAGTCTTAGAAGAGAACGACGCGCGGAAACCCGAATGGCCAGGTCCATGACAGTTGCTTCTCTTTGTTTTTTTTCTTCTTTGCCTGTTTTTTTGTTTCCTTTTTCCTCCCCATCATGTTTCCAGAAACGTTTCATATGTTTACTTCTTCCTCACCAAAAAAAATTGTTTTCGTCCCCCGGCCCCCCTCTTCCGTTTTCTTTTCGTTTGAAGAAATATCGCAACACTCATGCCACCCCATACATATTATCAGCCTCATCCTCCTCGCCCCCCCTGCCCTGACCAGACTGCTGCCTACAAACAAAACAAAAACGTGTTCGCAAAAGAAGGTTCGCGTTCTGTCATCCCCGGAGCCCCCGGGGGGGGGGGGGGGGGGAGAGGGGCACGCGCGCGTGACTGGATGATTGGCTGCTTGAGTCAGGACCAATCCAAGCCCAGCCCAAACCACGTACCCTCCCCTAGACTCCAGAGACGATTGTGCGCAAGGCAAGGAAGGGGACATGGGTGGGCCGTGAGGATCTATGATGTGATGCGTTTTTATCGATCTTGCGTATGTGAGTGAGTGAGTGTGTGTTTGTTTGCCCTCCCCCGTCCCGTCCGACGTCCCGTTCCCGCGGCGGGCGATTCGTTTGTGACCGAGTCCTTTCGTTCGTTTGTCACTGGACGAAGGAGTAGGAAGGAGTATGTAAGCAGGACAGGGACGGAATGGAGGACAGGACAGGGGAGGCTAAAAACAGAAAAATTGGCGGAATCAGCCCTAGCTGAAAAAAGCAATTTAATCAAGCAAGCAACGATACGTATTTAGTATTTTTACGGAGGATGAAGAAAGAAAAGAATAGAGTACTGTACCCTATTGTTGAAATTAGTAGCGGTTTCATTTTTTTTTCCATCACGGCAGCCCGTAAGCTGCTCGCTTGTCCGTACCGTACCGTACGTACGTACTGTATTAAGTAGCGTGGCTAATTATAACTGAGTAGAAACAGTACCGTATGTAGCAGCAGCCGTCACCCGTGCTGGTTC